GGGAGTGAGGGATGATTCTAGGATCACTCTCAGATTTCCCACTTGGGAGGCTTGGTAGAGGGTGGGAAGAGTCTAGAAGGAGCAGAGTTGTAGGATGAGATGATGAATTCAGATTTGGAGTGTTGCATTGTGCTCTCTGGAGAGAGGTCAATCAGGCACTTGACTCCCAGGGTCTGAGTGTTCAGGACAATGATGTGGATCAGAAAGACAGTAGTTGGAAAGATGGCCCCATGGGGCAAAATGCAGTTGGCCAGGGTACACTTGGAGGGGGTGCAAAGATTGTGTGTGTGTGTGTGTGTGTGTGTGTTGTTGGGTGGAACAAACCATGGGGAACCTCCTCATCTATGGACTGGATCTCTCTTCTTTTTTGACCCCAAAAGAGCCTGATGGGGAGCAGGCTAGAAGGTAGGAGGAAAGCCAGGAGGGCAGAGTTGCAGAACCCCAGTGGGAGATGGCATCAAGGGGAGTGGCTGCTGGCCATGCAGAGCAGGTGACATGGCAGAGAGAACCTTTGTGGGAGGTCTGAGGCAAAGCCCCCACATGTTGGTGACCTTGCTGGAGGGGAGCCATCGCCAGGAATGTGTGATCCTGTGGGGGCCAGCCTGGAGGGGTGAGGGGTACAGAGTGGCCGGACAGCGGGCATGCCTGTGCCTGTGTGCTTCCAAGAAGCATGGCTGTAGAGGGAGGAGAGAGAGAAGAAAGGCAAGAGGAGGGAGTACAGGATATAGGGAGGCTTTTACTTGCAGTTTAAGACTCAGATATTTGTGGCCTCTGAAGAAGGAGCAGTGGAAAGGCATAAACAGCAGGGTTCTCAGAAGAGAAGGAGGCCAGGAGAAGGGGTCTCCTGGAAGCAAAAGAGCAGAAGGAGGAAGGTTCAGATGGATGGGCCCTGCCTGGAGGCAGCTAGTAGACAGGAACGGAGGAAAGGGAGGGACTTCCCACTTGATGGTCATCTCTGAGAATCCTGGATGAGGGAGGGTATATCAGTAGGGCCAGGAGCTGGGGAGGTAGGGGGCATGGAGAGAAATCTTGTGGGGGGTGGGAAGGGAACAAGGAAGCCATGACTTCCTGAGTGGAGTTCTGTATCCCTGGTACAGACTCAGAGGAGGCAGTTGGTCTCACCAGCTCTGGGTGGGCCAGGATGGGCACAGCAGCACGACTGAGGCAAGGGCACCAAGGACCCCGAGGAGAGGTTGTTATAGGGCAAAGCCTCATAGAGCCCAGCAAAGATGGGGCAATCAGAGGAGGCCAAGGGGTCAGCCAAGCCCTGGGGCACAGATAGGATTGGAGTAGGGGTGAGGGCTGGAGGAAGGAGAAGGAAGCCGGAGTCAGTGTCTTAGAGCTGGAGCTGCTCCAGCTAACTGTGTGCTCCAGATAGAATGTTGACAGAGACAGATAAAAGAGCCTTGGGATAACCAAAAACAAGAAAAAGAAGAAAGGAATGTTGACAAAGACCCATTTGGTGCCTCTGCAGAACTCAGCCCTGCATGGGCTGGGAGCACTGGGAGGCCTGGGAGCACAGGTACCTGGCATCACCACCAAGTGCCAGAGAGCACCTGCAGGACCCTGTAGTCAAGAACCATCCCACAGGCATGGGCAGGTAGATACTGAGGCAGTACCAGTCAGGTGCCAGTTAGGTGCTGTGGAAGACACTGGCTTACCAAGGCCAAGCTGGAGCCAGTGTCACCAAACTGGGCTAGGTTGCTGGTCTTGGTGACTTATTCTCTCAGACTAGTCCCTCCTGTTCCCTTAATCCCAACTTTCTCAAATAAGGATGCTGGCAAAGGCAGAGCCCCCACATGTACTGGCTATGTCCATTCTTGTGGGGAGCCCTGGTTGCCTGCTGCTAGTTGGTCCCTGTGAAACAATAGCTGAAGACAGCTCTTTCCCTCCTCCATGCCTGAGGGACTTAGGAAGTCCTGGAGCAGCCTCTGAATGACCCACCAGTCTAACTCCTCTCTAGAGACCAGTGCCCCAGGTGCCAGGACATAATTTCCCAATGGCCTCCTGGAGAACAGGCACGGTAGCTTTGGAGTCCTGTACCAGGCAGGGCGGAGGGCCATTTTCTCTGTCACGTGGCTTTCCAAGTATGTACACAGGCTTGCAGTCTCAGTTCAGGTACAACACTAGGTGCTCACTAGGTACGACAAAACCCTGGCCTCCCAGTCAAGGTACATGCATCACTTGTAGCAGGTTTAGGGCATTTCCCAAATGATATTGTGATTACTCTTTTTTTTTTTTCTTTTGAGATGGAGTCTCACTCTGTTGCCCAGGCTGGAGTGCAGTGCCATGGCACGATCTCGGCTCACTGCAACCTCCTCCTCTTAGGTTCAAGAGATTCTCCTGCCTTAGCCTCCAGAGTAGCTGGGATTACAGTGCCTGCCACCATGCCCAGGTGATTTTTTTGTATTTTTGGTAGAGATGGGGTTTCACCATGTTGGCCAGGATGGTCTCGAACTCCTGACCTCATTATCTGCCTGCCTCAGCTTCCCAAAGTGCTGGAATTATAGGTGTGAGCCACTGTGCCCAGCCAACTCCTGCAGTTTTAAGTCCAGGTGACCTCAGGAGCAGGGTAGACCACCTGGGAGGTGGCTTAGAGTCTGCCCCCATCCCACCCGAACATGGTCTCAAGCCTCTTCTGTACCCCCAGAGCTGGAAGTCCTTTAAGCCAGGCCTGCTTCTTTATCAGGTGGCTTTGCTGCAAAGAGCCAGCCCTGGGGACACTGCCAGTCTTCCCTTGGTCTTTTGTTGACCTGGTTCATAGGGAGGCAGTGGGAGAAAAGAGACCCTTCCTGGCCAGCCAGGCTCCAGAATGAAGGGAAGGAAAGAAATCAGGCTGAGCCCCTGAAGCTGCTGTGTCACCAGAGCTGGGGCCTGCAGACTTTCAGGGGTTCCTCAGTGATATGAGTGGAGGGAGCAGGTGCTGCCTCACAACCAGCTCTGTCCCATCTGCCCCAGCCACAGTTTCCTCTCATCTGCATCCAGTGGAGTTGTCTAGCTTACAGGGCTTGGGAATGGCTGAAGGCATGGCCTCCGTTCCTCTCTGGTCTTTCATCAACCTCTCCACCCTCACACACTGGGATCTTCCCAGCCCCTCTTTCACCTGAGACCCCCGAACCACTGCCCATGGTTGGACCTGTGGTGAGTGCCCCTGTCATCTGGAATGACCATGTTCTAGAAGTAGGGGCTGGAAGGGGAACCTGGCTGACCCCTGGTTCCTGTGAAAGAGGCCAGGAGCTGGTTTCTTTCTCTTACACTGCTCCTTCCCATCATGACAGCCATGGGTGCCACTTATCTCTGCCAGACTGATCTCTCCACACCTGGGAATGAATCCTGTGCCTCCTGGGAGAATCCTATTGATAAGTATCTTGCAGGAGCACATCCTGTGAGTCAACTTCTACCTTTTGGATTCTATTTCGTTTTTTGTTTTTGTTTTTGAGATGGAGTCTTGCTCTGTTGCCCAGGCTGGAGTATAGCGGTGCAATCTCAGATCACTGCAACCTCCTCCTCCCACGTTCAAGTGATCCTCCTGCCTCAGCCTCCCAAGTAGCTGGAATAGCAAGCATGTGCCACCACACCCAGCTAATTTATGTATTTTTAGTAGAGATGGGGTTTCACCATGTTGGCCACACTGGTCTCAAACTCCTGCCCTCAAGTGATCCACCTGCCTCAGTCTCCCAAAGTGCTGGGATTACAGGCGTGTGCCACTATGCCTGGCTTGGATTCCCTTTTGATGATGGTCTGTGGGGAACCAACAGGAACAGCAGCTTGTTTTTGCAGTTACTGACAAGACAGGTTTAGGGGAGCTTTCTTTCCTGCATGTTGATTCAAACGAGAGGCTTCTTTGACTACCACATGCCTGCAATCTGGACAAGAGGTAGGGAGATGGGGCAAGGATTTTAGAAGCCAAGCCCTCTTCTCCCTCCCCTCAAAGATCTGTTCCACACATACCGGTTTCCCTTTGGCTCACTCCAGTGCAATATCAGGAAAAGTTCTTTAAAGATATCTCCTTAGCTCGGAGCTTCTAAATGCCTGCACAAGCCAACTTATTCCCACCATGTAGCCTTGAGTTTTTCTCTTGGGTCCCACCCAACTCCAGCTGTGCACTCTCTGTTCTAATGCCCCTGTTCCTTTACTCAAAGCCAGCTCAACCTCCTTAGGATGGGTGAGGTGTGTCCTGTTAGCTCCCACCCACAGAAATGAAAGGCTTCAGCGTCCTTAACTTGACAGATAGATGTCCCCTCTGGATATGTGCCACAGGGATCACACATCTTGAACTCTGGATCATCCAGGGCCCAATACCAGGCAGCTCCACGTGTTCATGCACACACACACATGCACATGCACATTTTTTTCTTACACACAGAACCCATTTTTGCAAACATTCATGTGACAGACTCTCAGACACCACCGGGGGACTTAGGCCTAACTGCCTGCCCCAGACCTCTGGCACCTGGGCCATAGACGGTGTGGTGAGTGACACCTACCTCACTTCTCCCACCTTCCACTGTTCGGAAGGCTGTGCTCTCTGGAAAGTGGGCAGGGCTGGCTGCTTAGCTTATGCCAAATCTTTGGAGTAGGAGGCTGAGTCCGTGGATCTCAGGGCCTCCTTCTGAAAGTCCTAAAGGTTGGGGTCCAGCATGCTTTGCCCTCCCACGCCCTGGGGACTTCACTGGGCTTCCTTTAGGTCCCATCTCAGCCCTCCTGTGCTCAACAGGCCAACTCTCCACTCTGTCCCCGCCCCTCCCTTGGCATCCCATCCTGTCCATCACTAACCTTCTGATCGTCCTCTGATTGTCATCTCCTTTGAAGCCCAGCTCCCACTTCCTACCCACACCCCACTTGCCCACACATGACACCATACACCATGGTGGGTCCCCATTGTGGAAGGGCCCTTTCCTGACCTGCCCCCAACCTCTGGCCAGTGACTTGTCACCAAACCCAATGCCCAGCACCCTCTGAAGCCAGAGGGCTACCCCAGGCCTGCTGCTGCTCTCTAGAGAGACTTGCGATACAACATCCCCGTGTCCTCTGCCTCCCTCTCGGCCATCAAGAGCCTGGGCCTCAAGAGCGTCTGCTGCATCAGCCTGACCAACCTGGATGACTCTCCAGCTTCACACCAGGTGCTACAATCTGTTGCCTACCACCTGGGCCCGCACCTGCAGAGCTTGTCCCTGGGTGGCGGCAGCCCCACAGAGGCCTCCTTTGTAGACCTGATCCTGGGCTGCCCAACCCTGCGTGTCCTTGACCTCAGTGGCTGCAATAGCCTCTTCACCTCGGGCACATGGCTGGCTCAGCCCGAGACAACACACAGCATCCGGCAGACCTTGAGTGGCCTCCATGAGCTCAACCTGACTGGCCTGCGGGACCTGGCTGACCTTAGCTTCAACCGGCTCAGCAGCTGTGCCCCCAGCCTGGAGCGCCTCTCCTTGGCCTACTGCCACCTCACCTTCGAGCCGGACCCAGCCCGAGGCTGCAGCAGCCCCCAGGACTCCTCTCCCTCTCAGTTCTCCTTCAGCAACCTGCTGCGATTCGTGCAGGAGCGGGCTGGCAGTCTGCATGCCCTAGACTTGAGTGGCACTGGCTTGCCACCCGAGGCCCTTTGGGCCCTGGGCCAGGTAGCTGGGCTGCAATTGCAGGAGCTGAGCCTGCACAGCTGCCGGGACCTCTCCACAGAGGCCGTGGCCACCCTGTGCCTCCAGCAACCAGGCCTTATCTCCCTGGACCTCAGCGGCTGCTCAGAACTAACTGATAGGGCACTCTTGGCTGTGAGCCGAGGCCTACAGCACCTGCGGCGCCTGAGCCTGGGGAAGCTGCAGCGGCTGACAGATGCAGGATGTACAGCCCTGGGTGGCCTGCAGGAGCTGCAGAGCCTCGACATGGCCGAGTGCTGCCTGGTGAGAGGGTGGGAACTGGCCCGGGCCCTGGGCTCCATGCATGGGGCTCCACCACAGCTGGCTTCCCTGAGCCTGGCCCACTGCTCTTCGCTGAAGGTGAGCACACCATCATGCCCTTCCTTCTTCTCCAGGGCTGGGGATGGTGGGAGAGGGGAACCGGGGTGGTGGGGGTAGTGGACGGCCTGTGGCACCAGGGAGGGACTCCACAGTGTTCATGCCCACAATTGGCAGTTGGAAATGAACTTGGGACCCAATCTGGAGGAGGACAGGAGCTTAGACAGCTGCTGCTACTGCCAGCACACCTCCCCAAAGCCCCCATTCTGGGCCTAGGAGGTCCAAGCAGCCAGGGTGGCCCAGCCCACGAGGCAGCCCACAGCTCACATGCCAAATGCGTGGCAATGGCTGTGTCTGGTGAGGAGTGCTGAGGAAAGGGAGTGATGGGCAAGGAAGGCAGGGAAGGAGCAATGAGGAAGGCACTGGGGTGGGCCCTGCAGGGTGATGCGACAGGAGCAGCAGGGTCATTTCGGGGCCAAGGCCAGGCCCTTCAGCAGGGCTCAGTGCTGTCCCTCTGGGTGGCATCCCTCTCCTGGTAGTGTCAGTCCATCCCTAACGGATTATTTCTTCAACCTGTCCATTTGACCAGGGCATTCTCAACATAAAACCATCCCTCCATCTTGTTCCCCTCCAAGTGCCTCTCTTCCTGGCCCCACTCCTTCCCGTTGCCACCAAGCATGTCTCAGCTGCTGCCTCCAGGCCTCACGTTCTTGTGTCTTTGAAGCTCCCCTCGGTTCATCCCTCTACAAACTAGCCTCCAGCTCCTGCTCCCCTTCCCTAACTGCCCTGGCAGCTGGTAGCTCTACCTCAATTGGCTCAGCAGAATCAACTGGCTGGTCCAGTGAGCTGTGGTCTGAGGCGGCCTCATCCACTCCTTTGGCAGGGGCTGGGAGCATAGGCAGGGTGGCCACCCTAGACCTTGCCGCCTGTATGCTTCCTGCCTCAGCCATAGTCCAGGCCTTTTTCCTGTGGCAACCCCCATGGCTACTCTCTGTTATCTACGCCCACCTTTCACTACCAGCATGGGGGCCATGTTGCTTCCTTCCTGGGATCCTCTGGTAGCTCCCTTCTGCCTGTGGGTTGGGAGCCTTGGACAGACCTAGCTACCAGTCCCAGGCCAGGTGTCATAGGCACCAGCTGCCGCTCCATCCTGTCTCCTCCCTCCCTCCTTCCTAGGACGCCTCAGTGCTCTCCATGATCCCAGTGCTGGGCCCAAGCCTCAGGGTGCTAGACTTGTCCTCCTGTGTGGCCCTCACCAACCGGACCCTGCAGGCCATCTGCACGTACCTCACCCACCTCTCAGTCCTGCGCCTGGCTTGGTGCAAGGAGCTGTGTGACTGGGGGCTTCTGGGGCTGGGGGAGCCTGTGCACGAGACCCAGGTGCGGGACCCTTGAGGTCTTGGAGGGCGGGGTGGCCCCTGGGCTCAGCTGCCCTCCTGCCCCTCCCAAGTCTCTTTGTAGGAGCATTTAAGGGCAAACTCAGGAGGAACCTGAGAAGCAAGGGCTTCATCCCACAGCCACACACACAGCTGGAGCATCAGGCCTCAGGCACCAAGGACCCCGATCCCGAGCCACAGGGCCCCTCCCTGCTCATGCTGCGAGCCCTGCAGGAGTTGGACCTCACAGCCTGCAGCAAGCTGACTGATGCCAGTTTAGCCAAGGTGTGGGGCTGGGGGTGTGAGTAGGCTGAGGATCTTAGGGCTGAAGTCAGGGGCCTGGGACAACCCGCTTTTTGCTTGGAAAAAAGCTGACCTTGGAGTTCCTTTTTCATTGGTTTCTGCTGTCTCTGGTCATGCCCTGGCTGAGGTGGGAGGATCTGGAAGGGCCAAGGCTCTGGGCTCCAGTGGGATTTACCCTTCCCCCCATCCTCGCAGGTGCTCCAGTTCCCCCAACTGAAGCAGTTGTCCCTGAGCCTGTTGCCAGCACTCACAGACAAGGGCTTGGTGGCTGTGGCCAGGGGCTGTCCCAGCCTGGAGCGCCTGGTACTGAGTCACTGCAGCCGCCTCAGTGACGAGGGCTGGGCCCAGGCAGCCAGCACCTGGCCAAGGCTGCAGCATCTCAACCTGTCCAGCTGCAGTCAGCTCACAGAGCAGTGAGTGTGTCTGATGACACTGGGCAAATGGAGCCATGGTACAGGGGCTGGGTTGAGTCCCACAGCGGACCAGGCACTCATCTGGTGGCCTCCCCACAGTACACTGGATGCCATTGGACAGGCGTGCAGGCAGCTCCGGGTGTTGGATGTGGCCATGTGCCCTGGCATCAACATGGCCGCCGTCAGGCGCTTCCAGGCCCAGATGCCCCAGGTGTCCTGCGTCCAGTCCCGCTTTGTGGGAGGGGCTGACCTGACCCTATCACTCTGAGGCCAGGTTAGTAACTAGCCCTGCAGCTCAGCCTCCTTGACTCCCCCAGTCCCCAACCCCGGCCTTGAGCCGGGTTGCCTCCGTTGAGGACTGGGGGTGGGGCCAATCCAGGGCAACCCAGGGAACTTCCTGCCGCATAGCCTGGCAGCAGCCTCTTTCCAACCACACATCGCTGCCACAGGCTCCTGCTCTCTGGTCAGGCCCTGGTTGGGAGGCCAGGCCCCCAGCAGGTGGGGTCGGGAGCTGGGAGGAGCAGACCCTATGTCTCTTGCCTGCCCTCTTCTCAGACCTAAGGCCCGGCTCCATCTATTCCTGTGGGACTCTCCCCGCCCCACCCCAGTGTGCACTGAGCTTCAGCACTGAGCCCAGGTCTGTGTTGTAAACCCTAAGATTAAACATTCCAGATAGTACCTTCTTGTCTTAGGTTCTCAGACTAAAGGGCCCCTCTCCTCCCCACTTCAGCTTAAGTGGCCCTGGAGCAGGCAAGAGCATCCCAGGCATGCTCCTTCCTCAGGCTTGGCTCACAGCCCCACAGGGGCTCCCACCCTGGCCTGACACAGCCAGGTCCTAGCAGCTTCTCCACACGGTAGGAGACCCCACAGGCCTGGGTGTGCCCTGAAGTAAAGGCACACACTCTGCGCTTGTCCCAGCCAGACTCCAGGAACAACTGATGAATAATGCTTGAGTCAGTGAGGCTGTCCTGAGGGGAAAATAAGAGGAAAAGAATAAAAGAGGCCAGCATCTCTGGGTGAGAGGGTCACTAGAGGTCACCTAATCCAGCCTCCTCAATGGTGCCAGTGACTTCTCCATGGCAGCTTTGGGGACCAGTGGGCTCCTCTTTCCTCAAGGGCTTGGTGTCCCCACACCTCATCCATATCCCTGGTCACTGGTTCTAGCAGTGAGCCAGGGATCCCCCAGCACCTGCAGGGACTGTGCTTTATGTGGGGATTCAGAGTAGCCAAAGCTCTCCCAGCACAGGGCCAGCTGGGGAGGCAGAGAAGCCAGCTAGCAGGGACAGTCCAGCATGCAGGGTGTGTGTGAAGAGAGACAAGCACCTGGGACCAGAGCCCAGGGAGCAACAAATTGGGCTTGGAAGGTCCAGGAAGGAATCAGGCAGTGAAACTGGGCAGAAGGAAGGAAGAGGGTGATCAAGACAGAAGGCACTGTGGGGGTACACCTGAGCAGGCCAGAGCTGGCACTAAGGGGGTGGTCTAAGCAGGGAGGATGCCAGCTTGGACCAAGCACCAAGAACCCTGAAAGCCACAGGTGCTTAGCTGGAAGGGCTAAACCGCAGCATGTCTGCCACTCATCTGGCTCAACTCAGGCTTAGTCATGGAAACTGTAGCCATTAACCCATGGACATGGATAGGGACACATGGAATATATGGGATGTTTGTGTGTGTATGATAAGATTTATGTTGGAGAAAGCAGTTGGGATAACTGGTGTTAAGAGGGTTGGAGGGGCAAGATGGGAGGCCGGAAGTCAGGAGGCTGTTGCTATGATGGTGGCATGCACAAGGGACTGGAGACATTAGGAAGGAAGAATTGACAGTTACAGGGAGGCTGACAGCATCAGGGATCCCTGCCTCCCATTTCTACCTAGAACTCAAGGCCAACCACTCCAAGTGTGGTGGGAAGTCCTTAGGCATGGGCATGGTGGGCTCCAGATGCCCAAGGAGCTGAAGCTTAGCTGGGGGAGGGGGAGCAAGTGCCCTCTGGCACATTCTCCAAAGGAAGTGCCATCTCAGTTCTCATAGCCAGTTTGATAGTTAAAAGCAGTATTGGAGCCGTAATCCCAGCACTTTTCGAGGCTGAGGCAGGTGGATCACCTGAGCTCAGGAGTTAGAGACCAGCCTGACCAACATGGAGAAACCCCATCTCTACTAAATACAAAAAATTAGCCGGGGATGGTGGCGCACACCTGTAATCCCAGGTACTTGGGAGGCTAAGGCAGAAGAATGGTTTGAACCCGGGAGGTGGAGGTTGCAGAGGTGAGTGGCAGGGAGAAGTCTGAGGGGCAGTGGCTTCAGCCTGCCCTGTGAGCTCCACAGCCTGATGAGCTCTTCTTTCCTCAAGGGCTTGGGGTCTGTGACCACAGCCTCTGCCCCTGTGACCAAACCTGCTTCTGCCCCAACCTGCTTCTGTCCCCAGGGACTCTGTCCTGTCTATGGCCCCCACCTCACCCATGGCTCTGAGATAGGTCTTTTTTTTTTGGAGATGGGAGTCTTGTTCTGTTGCCCAGGCTGGAATGCAGTGGTATGATCTCAGCTCAGTGCAACCTGAGCCTCCGGGTGCAGGCATTTCTCCTGCCTCAGCCTCCCAACTAGCTGGGATTACAGGTGTGAGCCACCATACCTGGCTAATTTTTGTGTTTTTAGTAGCAACAGGGTTTCACCATGTTGGCCAGGCTGGTCTCCCAACTCCTGACCTCAGGTGATCTGCCTGCCTTGGCCCCCCCACAGTGCTGGAATTACTGGCGTGAGCCACCGAGCCCAGCCCTGAGTTAGGTTTTAATCAGAAGCAGGGCTTCCTGCACAGAAATAGCTCTTGTCAGAATCAGCCCACATCCTCCCACTGGCCTGGGGATGCCCTTGGGAATCTCGACCCTGCCCTTCTGCAGAAAGCAGGCCTGGCTTCACCTCTCTCCCTTCATGCCTCTCACCAGAGACCTCCCAAGTCTTACAAAGGATACCAGGCAGGGCCATGCAAGCTCGAGGACTGGCGTCAGACTGTCAGGAGCCTTCTGGAGATGGCTCCCAGACTAGGCCACTGTTAATGCTGTGCAGGAAGGCGTCTATTGGGGCAGTGCCTCCTACCCTGCCATTTCTCCCTCAGCAGGCCGGCAGCCCAGCTCTCCCTTGGCAGGTGCCCTCAGATCATAGGCCAGCCCTTCCCACAGGCCCAGCATGGAGGGAAGCTGAGGATTCATTTGGAGGAGGGCAGTGGTCCCGGCCTGTCCCCACCCCTTTCAGAACACCAGCCCCTCAACCGTAACTACCGAATTTTGTGGCCTGGGCCTGATGCCCCATCTTATCCACCAGCTAAGTTTGAAGGTAGAAGGGGAAGACTGTCACTGTCACAGGTTCAGCCCACAAGGTTCAGAGCTGTCTCAACATAGCCCAAGAGCCAAGCAGACTTTATTTCTGCAGTAATCCTGCTGGTCAGGGTGCATCACTCCTCTACACTCCAACCCTTCATGGCTGCCACAGTGGCTGCAGCTGTGGCTTGTGGCCAGCCACACTGTCAAGGTTCAGCGATGCTGCAGTCATAGCAGAAGTTGAAGTTGGTGGGGGGTGGGGGCACAGGGGGTGGCCGCTCAGGGATGGGCACATTCTCCAGCTCCAACAGACGCAGCTTGGTCTCCATGCTCAGCAACTGCTCCAAGTCCAGCCGTGTCTGCTCACTGCCCATGGGACTGCCCAGCAGGGCGTTCAGCCCATCCGTCCACAGGGAGAACTGGGGGTAGCACAGAGCTGTGAGGGCCTGCCCATCTGCCTCCCCTGCCCACCTGCCGACCTCAGCCTGGTGGACACTCACCTCCCGCTTGGAGGGGGCAATGAAGTTGAGGTATGCCTCCTCCTCCCCGTGGTCATAGCTGACCGAGAAGGCCAACTCATAGAGGTCCTGGGGAAGCAAGAGAGAGGGACACTGAGCAGAGGACAGGGCAGGCAGGGGCAGGCAGGAAGGAGCCCCCTGGCCTGCTGCACCCACCTTATTCTGCTTCCCGGAGCCCTTCTCCCGGACATGGGGGCAGTCCTTGCCTGTCAGGAGCACCCTCATGTCGGCCACAGGGACTGTAGAAAGAAGGCTGGGCTGAGCACTGTGGCCCAGGCAGCCCCAGGGCTCAGGGCAGTCTTGGGAGGGCAGGTGTCGAGCCCCCACCCGTGCCCGCCTTACGTTGCTCGGGCAGACTCTCCAGGGCAGGCGGGCTGGTGCCCTCCTCCACGTCTCCATACTGCAGCACCTTGTGATTGGGGGACAGGCAGCAGAACCACAGCTTGTCTATATGGAGAAAGGGAAGAGGGCCGGGGCACTGAGAGGTCCTGACCCAAAGCCAGCCACCCTCTGCCCACAGCCTACCACCCGCCCCCAGCCCTTGCCCACTCAGAGACCCTGGCGCCGCCGGCTGCTGATCTTGTGGAAGAACGTCCCCTCACAGAGGTGGAGCAAACGCTGCTGGCGGATCAGGCCCATGAGCTCTGGCTTCAGCTTCTCCCGCAGCTCCCTGGTAGAGGGGTGTCACTGAGCACATCCAACCTGGGGAGTAGCCCAGGGGACACCAGGGAAGGTGGGGCTAGGGGTGGGGATCCATCACCCCAAACTCACAGTATAGGGGGAGCCAGTGTGCCCTCCTGGTGCAGCCGTTCAGTCTGCCGCAGCCGCAGCACTTCCCCATACGTGAGTGCATTCACCTTGGTTCGGAAGAGCTCCAGGGAGGTGGGCTTCAGGGCCAGCGTTCGGGCCAGCTGCTCCCGCACCACCTGCATGACCTGGAGCCGCCCGAGCTCAGCTGGCCCTGAAGCACCCAGATCAACCCCTTGCCCTGGCCCACCCCAGCTCCCACCCCACCTACCTTGTCGAAATCCTCCTGTGTAGCCCGCATCTCCTTCCAGGTCTTATTCAGCAGCTGGATACCCACACAGAAGAGCTCATGGAAGCTCTGGTCTTGGCCAAAGAACATGGGTGAGAAGTCTTGGGCTGTCTCGGAGCCTGGAGCGGGGGGGCAGGAGGGGCTCAGGGAGAAAGTGCATGCAGCCCCTGGCCCTCTCTGCCCTTCCGTCCCCTGCTCCTGGCCACACTGTGCCCTGTCCAGGCCACTCACAGGGCTCCCCGATGCGTAGCAGTTCACAAAGCAGCACCGTCAGGTGGATGCTGCCCCGGGCAAAGGGGCACTCGTGCTTGTCCTCGCGGCTGCTGTTCTCCAACACAAACTGGCAGGGGCAGAGAATGGGGCGAGGAGTCATGGCCAAGCCCTTGGGGACCCTGCCTGGGGAATGTTGCCACTCTCTACCCTACCCTGTCACCGACCCGGCTGTACGCGCTAGGCGAATTTCTGGAGAAGTACAACATGTTGTCCAGGGCCAGCAGACCGGGGGGCACGCGTTCCAGGTCCTGTGCTGGGTTGCTATTCTGGGTGAAGGGGGCACAGGCTGTTCAAGAAGGGCCACAGTCCCCTAGAACAACAGCCCTGGGCTGAGGCAGGGGTGGGGAGTTGGTTAGGGGACACTCACAGAGAAGCCTAGTTTGCGGAACTCTCGGGCACAGAGGGAACGTCGCCGGTCAGCACTCAGCCCAGCACCCAAAGACTCCCCCTCTGCCTCAAAGGCAGCCTGGCGTAGAACCTGAAGCTGCTCCCGCTGCTCCTGGGGTCAGTGCAGGTGGTCGGGGAGGGGATCATGATTATAGATTC